TCAACCACCAGGTAAGACCAACGTGGTTTGTGTTTGTGTATATGGCTGTGTTGGCGGGGCATTGTCGCGGGGCGCGTCATTGCCCTGCGCGGGGTTACTTGAACTCGCCATGGTGGTTGCAAAAGAAGCCTCAGAAAGAGGGCATTGTAGGTAATGACGAAGCTGCAAGAGAGAGCGCCAGGGGGAGCCACTACACTAAGAATGAGACGTAGGAGCTGCAAGCCTGTATTCCACGCGCGGGAGAGCATATGCGCTATGATGCGGACCTCTTCGGCCTTCTTGGCGTGTGATTGGCCATGAATAGATCAAAGCCACAAGCGGGGCTTCGTCATCGCTCAGCCCCGACGCCTTGTTACCTACTCCTGGGGTCCAATTTGCATGCCACAAATGGCGTCTGAAACGATCGACACTTGAAATGCTAATCTGGGCGCTGCTTGAGAGTGTCAGGCGTCCACCGACCTTCCGCTAATTCAGCTGGCTTGAATTGTTAGGAACCGAATTCACCGAATACACACCAGTAGTAGTTTGGAGGCCTAGTTGAGATATGAAGGAATATATCGTAACACTAGCTAATACCGATGACCCAAAGCCACCTGAAGTCTGCCTCGCCCACTTGTCGAGTACATAACAGTCCTACTAGTGCAGCCTCAAGCGTATCGAAGCGTATACATGCGTATTCTCGTGTTGTTGTAGCAACCCACTTGGGGTACTCGGTCCACATAGCAATTCAGAAGGCCCGGAGCAGCTGACGATGATATGTAATCATGAGCTTCCATGCGCCGCGCTCGACACCTACAGCGCTGAAGACTACCCGCTGACAGAGGAGCGTTCAAAATCGAAAAGAGGTGCTTGAACCGGAAATCTACCTGTTCGCACACATAAGTCAGCCTCTTTATCGGGTCATGACGATACACATACTTACCACATATGCGGCCATGCGGAAACACCCTCCCAAGAACGTTTGCCGTCCGCCTCAGATGCGGTTGACTTTTGCTCATCTTCTTGCTTCTCTGGGGGTTTCTGGTATACCGACGCCTTGATGCTATCAGTATCGCGTTTAGGTGCTGCCGATGTGTCGAGAGCATGTTTCGCAAGCCAGATCAGCTGCTCTGTACGCGTCGTTGCTCTATCGTTGGCGAGGCGCGTGCATATCTTGTTGACAATGCGACCGGTAGTCGTGATGCCCTGCGCAGCCTGGAGCTCGTTGACGGCTCGGTCAACGCACCCGGCGCGGTCGGACGCTGAGCTGGAGCTTGGTCGTAGCTGGCGCTTGAAACAGACTGGTGCAGATCTGGAGACACCACGAGCGGTTTGGAGGGGTAATTTGAACATGGTGACGACGGTGCTGGGTAACGTGGAATGTTTGTCGATAATGAGATCTTGGAAGGGGAGTTGAGACGCGTCTAGGTACGTGACAACTGCCGGCTAGATAGGAAGAAGAAAGGGAGCAGACAAGGTGAAGAGGTGGTGAAAGAGATACTATGTGTGAGCTGGCGAAGAGGGAGGTGAAGGTCGTTTCCATCTCGCCTCAGTACAGGAAGGAGCTCTCGGTTATCGAGGCGCAAACTTCACCCATGTGAAATGGGAGGAAGCTGCAACTGTGCCTTGTTCCACAAGTTGAGCGATGCTCCTCTTCAATACCATCTACGATGCATTCTCAGTCTTTCTCTTCCTCGATTGTCTTCCATTCCATGCCTTCTCGTACTAGTAGCCGCGCGACTGGTGAATAAAATCGCGTCAGATTTGTACAAAATTGTCTAAGGATCTGGAACTGATGCCATCTCCAAGACCGCAGATGTGATAGACGCAAGTGAAAGCGCAGTGATGGCGATTCACACGTGTGGGGAAGGCGCGATGCGCGTTGCCGTTTCGGCTCTAGCGCGCTTGCCCTGCAGCAAGCTGCCCGGCCACCCCACGTGGACGGCGCGTCATCATAGTGCATCACGCGTCCCGAGGTCAACAACTGAGGCGCCAGACACTGATCATCTCGTCTCTACGTTCTCGAGATACTGCTGTCCGTTCGAAATCTCATTTTGATCTATCTTGACCTTTACATACAGTAGGAATAGGATTCTAGGCTTCCAACCCTATCTTTCAGCTCGCATCCACCCAGCCACAAGCTTTAGAGTGTACATAAGCGCCGCGCGCTTCGACACCTCTAGACATAGACTCCTCTTCTTCTTTCTGAGAAGTAACAGCTCCACTAACCTCCGGTACCATGATGCATAGAAGCATCTTCATAGGAGCTACACTTGTAGCTTCGGCGACAGCATGGAACACAGACGGTACGCCCTTTCCCTACTACGACTAGCTAGCGCTAAGTTCACATAGTTCATAATCAAGTCGGCTTCATGGCGGAAACCTTCTTCACACCCGAAACCACGTCCGTCCTTGCAGAGATCCTCGAACCCCAATACAACGGCTCAGTCGGGCGCTCCGCAGCATGGGCAGACGGGTATGCGCACACCAGCGAAGGCCACTTCTCGTACCAGTGGCACTGGATAGACACACACGATCGTCAACCTGAGAACTGCAGTCTAGACTATGCGCGGGACTGCGCAAAGGGCGGATGCGTTGTCAGTGCTATTGCGAACCAGACGAGGATACTGCGGGAGTGCATAGACCAGGTGTATGCTGGTGATTTGACGGGAGGTGCAAACCTGACTTGCTCTTATGCGTTGAAGTGGGTTGCTCATTTCCTGGGCGACATTCATCAGCCTCTACATGCAAGTGGCCGACAAGTAGGAGGCAATACGTACAAAGTGGTATTTGGTGGCGCTCACACGCAATTACATTCTGTGAGTATCTTACACCAATAGCAAAAGGATGTGCTAACAAACAAGGTCTGGGACGGCTACATACCCTACTTCGCGGCAAACGTCGACCATCCCTTCTCGCACGAATCGATCGATCCGTTCTTTTCTGGGCTCGTCGCTCGTATTCGCAAAGACCAGTTCTACTCCGCGCCGTACATGTGGCTCTCCTGTACCGACCCTGCCACACCCGAGGAGTGCGCAACAAGTTGGGCGAAGGAGAGCAACAAATGGGATTGCGACTACGTGTGGAGTCGCGTAACGAACGACACAGATCTTGGAACTAATGGGTATGCGGCAGGCGCTGTGCCCATCGTAGAGCTTCAGATAAGCAAGGCTGCGCTCAGACTGGGTACATGGTTGAACAACTTGGTCGAAGGGGCCAAACCTACTGTGGAAGAGGAAATGATGGAGCTTTGAAGTGACAATCGAACAAACAGTGCCACGCTGATCTCACATCATCTTGACTCTCCACATGCGGGCTCAGCCAGTGTCTGCTGTACATGCGAACCAGTGGCGTTGATGCAGGATGCCTTCAGCCCTACGAAGATGCCGGGACCCCACATCGGCATAGGTGCCATCTCCTTCCCCACATCCGGTTATATACTCTCCCGTCGCTGGCTGCATTGGCAACCAAACATCGAATTGCTTTGCCTGATTTCTATACAGCGAATCCGTTTGGCGATAGAAACTTGGGAGTTCTTTCGACATGGCTTTCGACGAGTTGAACGACAAAATTACACCTGCCGTATGTACCTCTAACGGCCCCACATCTGCATCCTCGATACTCTTTGGCATGTTCAAACACACGAGGTCGCCATTGGAACTTATTCTTCTTTGATGAACGAAGACATCAAATATTGAGAACCTGACTGACTATATTCCCAGAACCCCAGCCGGGAAACATCACCAAACCGCGGCTCCTCCGTCCATCAATCCATCGCCATACCCAAGCCCTGCAAACCACTCCGACAATGGCAGCAGGAACAAAACATCGACCGCGATGCCCAAATCAAACTCACGAAACTAGTGCACATGCGCTACCAACACCCTGATCTAGACGAAATAACCACCTTTCTCCGTGACTTCGGCATGAGCGTAGTCCAAAAAGCCCCAGGCAAGAAATGGTTCAAAGGCTACGGCTCAGACCAATACGTTTACTACGCACAAGAAGGAGAAAAAAAGTTCCTCGGCGGCTGTTTCGAAGTAGAAAGCTACGCCGAGCTAGAGAAAGCGTCGAAAGTCGCGGGTGCTGGACCTATCGAAGAGTTGACCGACGCACCAGGCGGCGGCCACATGATCACATTGCACGACCCCGAAGGCTTCCCCATAAACCTAATCCACGGCCAGACCAAAAAGGACCCAGGCCCATTTCCCGAAGTCCTAACAACAAACTACGAAAACGAAAAGCCCCGCATCGCGCGCTTCCAACGCTTCAAACCCGGTCCCGCCGCCGTCCACAAACTAGGCCACTACGGCCTCTGTGTCCAAAACTTCCAATCCGAAATGCAATGGTACACCCGCACCTTCAACATCGTCCCCACCGATTTCCTCTACATCAACCCCAACCCCTCCGACCCCTCCCTCCCCCAACAAAAAGACGTAGCCATCTTCGCGCACCTCGACCTCGGTCCGGCTTACACGGACCACCACACCATTTTCCTGTCCAGCAACCCCACTTCCCATGTGCATCATTGCAGTTTCGAAGTCCACGACTTTGATACACAGAATTTGGGGCATGAGTGGTTGGCGAGTAAGGGGTATAAGAGTGTTTGGGGTGTTGGACGGCATATATTGGGGAGTCAGCTTTTTGATTATTGGTGGGATACGACGGGCAATATGATTGAGCATTATGCGGATGGGGATTTGGTGAATGAGGAGACGCCGGTGGGGTGGGGGGAGGCGGGGGATGAGAGTTTGGCGGTTTGGGGGCCCGAGGTGCCGAGTTGGTTTTTGGATTGATTTAGGTGGGGGTTTGGAAGTGTGCGGATGGGGTTGTGTATACTCGGTCTTTTCGCTTGGAGATAAGGACCATATACGTTCTGGACTCCCATACCATCTACAATAGACTTGATCTACCACTCCCTCGCCCTTCCCCACCCCCTATCCGTAACCCCATCATTCCCAAAATACCGTCCACTAACCGCCTCGCTTTCCTCTCCCAACCCCCCATCTCTATCCCCTCCCTTACCAAGCTGCCCAACCCCCAACCTCACCGGTATCCTCGCCCCCTCCTCCAACGTCTTCGGCGGCCTCCCAATCTGATTCCCCATATCACTATCCACCCACCCAGGACAACAGCAATTCACCAACACGCCCTCATTTTCACGTGCCAGGACCACTGTCAAAGCATTCATCAGCGCTTTGCTGACCTGATACGATTTCGGCGGCGCGCCGAACCCGGCGGCTTCTTGGGATGAGGATTTCACGGCGTTGATGTATTCTTGCGCGAGGGTGTCGACGTCGGAGATGGAAGTCGCGGAGCGGAAATGGGATGCAGTTGTACTGGGGTAGTTTGACAAGGAGGAAGCGGTGCTGGATACGTTTACTATGCGGGCGTTTGGTGTGGACGACATTTTTCCTTCCGAGAGGAAGAGTTGACACATTTGTTTTGTGCCGTGGTAGTTCACGTTGATGACTTGTTCGGCGGCATCGGGAGTCTCGTTGTTGTTGCTGTTTATGCCGGCGTTGTTGATCAAGACGTCTATTTTGCCGCTGTCGTTGAGCGCGGTTTTGAGGAAGGATGTTATGGATGATTTGTCTGAGACGTCGAGTTTGGCGTAGCGGATCTCGTTAGGAGGTTTGGCTTGGATTTTGAGGTCTACGCCGCCGCGGGATGTGGCGTAGATGTGGAGGGGTTGTGGGTGTTGGGTGTTGGCGAGGAGGTTGATGATGCCATGGCCAATTCCGCGGTTTGAGCCGGTGACGACTATTGTTAATGGGGATGCCATAGTTTCTAGAAATTGTCGAGATTGATGGTTCTGAGTTGTATCTTCTTCAGAAACTACTGCAGATATATTTATGTACCTAGGTACTTAGATGTGTTCTTGTGAGAGTGGTGATGTCAGGCACGATCCATGACGTAGCGATCTTCACTTGACCACATGTAGCGAGAGAAGAAAGGAAAACATCGAATGCACTTTAGTCAGTGAGCAACGGTGTGATATCAACAGAACTTGTATTTTCGTATCACTATACAGCGCGCGAAAATTGAAGAAGCTCTAGCGACAGGACCTGGTACCAGCTGCCCTGTCCTTCTACTAAGCTCTCCTTGGTTAGTCTCCGTACTCATGGTGCTGTTTCTGATGAACGCACGCATTTAGCACATCTCACTCCCTCCATGGGCCCCTTCAGCGTGACAGGGGCTTGCTATCCAGAAGCTCTCCAATCTTCCCCGCCAACCACTCTTCAGCCTCGGGCCAGTCGTCTCGCCCCAGGAGCATGTTGAACTCATTGAGGTCTGTGCGACGCAGTTCTGGTATCTCAAGCATAATCTTCTTGATAAGCTCGGGGGCAGACATTGAACTGGTCAGTACTTCTACGATCGCGTGGTACATGCCTGACTTAGCGGTGAAGCGTGCTTCGGCACATCCGGTCTCCTCCATAGCCTTGGTATAGACTTGACGATAGTGGTCCAGTTGGTATCCCATGCATGGGTAGTCGTGCAGAGTAAAGCAAGTGTGCCAATCATGGCGGAGAAAAAAGGGAAGTGAGGCGTAACCCACGAAACGTGGACTTGTGAAGACACTCCAGTCTAAAATGCCTGTAACATTGCCATCATCGTCGGCGAGAATATTATGGAGGGAGAGATCATTCCCCAGGACAAAGGTTTCTTCCTCGCTAGCCTCGGCGTTAGACGCTTTGGAGGTCCTGATGACGGGATGCGAAAAGATGATGTCGAGCACTTTCCGGTAGCCTAGCGCTCTAAGACGGGTGTTCGGACCCAAGGTATCCAGTTCCTCCGAATCTAGGGGCGGCCAAATAGTCTTGAAGTTAGGAGTCAAGTACTCGATACTTGACGCGAATGGTCCGTACTGGTAGACCTGAGTGTCAGACTCCAGGTCTTCATGCGTGAGGTCGGATTCATCCTTCCAGCGAGATACATAATCAACATCATGCGTCTCACTGCTCTCCCCGTCCGTAAACGCAGGAATGCCAATGCCCTTGAACTCAACCTTTTGTAGCCCTGCCATAGCCTTGGCAAGTGAACGCAATAGGTTCACACGCTTTACCTCAGTTTCCTTTGAGATACGGACTGCGGTAATGTGGCTCATGTCCGAGGCATCTTCAAACCAAATCTCATGCGCACGACGGCCAGGTAAACGCTTCATAAGTATGTAAGGCGCACCTAGGTTGGATCCCTCTACAGACTCTGCTGATGCGATGACCTCTGGGGCCGGAACATCCGTGTGCTGAAAGAGGTACTTCATAAGACCAATTTCATTTCTCAGATTGTGGGCGTCTCCCGCTCGCCAGCGAGGTTGCGTGCCCACGGATGGCACCGATACGACGTAGTCTTGATCACCCTGATCTTTGTGGCGGACTTGAAGCGTCACAACGAGGTTCATTTCGCCCTCGTAGCGCGAGAGAATTTCGACATCTGCACGCTCAAGCTGGCCGCTGGGATCCACGGATAGCAGGACAATATCCTTGAACTTGTCGTCTGGAATTTGTCGAAGAGTCTCCCAGTCGTGGCGTTTTAGGTTAAGAGCAAGGTGAACGCTTTCATCGTCATCAACAATGTAGCGCTCGTGGTCGTCATCATCATCATCAGACACTGGTTCGTCCAAGCCAATGCCAGAACCAATGCCGCCATCCTCGGTCTCTTCGTTCCCCTTAGGTTTTGAGGGCTGGTTTCGATAAGTCTTGTTTTGGTTGGCATGTTCGTCGGCTGGAACGCTGTCCGAGTCAACTGTCGACTCCTGCGCGGTCATGCCAATGTCTAGACTGGCCAACGCGGATGTTATCTTCTCGTCTTCCGATGACATGCTGGTCTGAAGCGGTGATTTGGATCGTCGGATGTAAGTTATGTGTGAGGAGGGTAAGTGGGGAAGTTATGGTTGAGCTGTAAAGAAGGCGTAGGGTTTCGGAAGGTGAGTAGTGATGTGGGAGAATAGTGGAAGAACTTATAGTCGAGAGAGGTGCTAGCTCATAGGGTGAAATGAAGCCGCAGACTCATCTGAGAACGATGGCGAGTACTGGCCTGCTAGAGGTTCAGAGTGAATGCGGTCGCATTGTTCGACAGCCGGAAACCCCAGACTTGTCACGCCAAATCATACTGACACTTGGCAATAGCGTGAATTCTGTCACACCCCTCTCGACTATGCGTGTAGGCCATTTCAATTTTGTCTACAAGATTGAGTGTGGTCCAGGAGTGACAGGCATACTGTTGTGCCGTTACTTTCACCCCACAGCCATGGCAAGTAATGGCCCTGCAGAGGTAGAGGTACGAAGTCAGTATATGTCTCACATGCACTTCGTACAGTCAGAACTTACCCTGGTTTCGCAGCGTTCATCTCGCCGTCGTGCCCATAAAGCTACAACGACCACAGATACGCGAAAGGTGACATTGAGTTCTTCAAGTATGCTCGTAATAAGAAGCTCGCGCATGCTCAGGCTAGACTTCAGGGCCGGGTTTTGTCTCGCGACTGGTGGCAAAGGTGGCCCGTATGAAGCTTGACACGATGAGGGCCAGCCCGGCACTAAGTAGTTATGTTGATAAACGTAAGAGATGAACACGCGCACCGACAGTCGAAAATGACATCTGGACAGAAGTCCGCAAAACGCAGAGGGTAAGACGCAGCTCCAACGCGGACGCGCGTAACAAGGAGCTCGGCGATCGGCAATTAGTCAGCGACGCGGTTTGGTGGTCAGTGCTCCAAAGTTCCTTCCAACTCGAACCTCATCCACATCTCATCACCAAACACCACACTTCACCAAAAGCATCGAGACATCTGAGAAGTCATTTCATTCATCACAAACTGATTCTTTACGCTTAAGGCGTCCTGATAAGAAGAGATTTCTATGCCTCGCGCATATCTCACGAACTCCAGGTTCTCTCGCCAAGCTTATGCTGATCCTACAGTGCATCGCAGCGCAGCCAGTGGTTACCATTATGTCTGATCATCCTGCAATTTTCACATCGCATCTCAGTACCTGCGATTTCTTATCAACGCAAAACGATGTTCGGGTGCTGACTGGTTACGGAACTACATTCGTCAGCGATAGCAAAGAATTGCGCCGATTCTACGCGGAAACAAATCAATATCTCATTGAAGTACTTACACAACCGGGACACGTTGATCAGTCTTTCTTCTTCCGCTTTGCTGCAGCTATTGCCTCTTTCATACTCTCCGGCTTCGGCAACTTGGCCCTGGACTTGGAAGAAGCGGCTTTTGCTGCTCTCTCAGCTGCTCTGGCTTTCTTGGAGTCTTTTGCTCCCCTTTCTCGCTGCTGATTGGCTTCTCTGATAGCCTGGTTATAGGACATATAAGAGGCGGCATCATTATATGCTTCTTCGTTTGTCTCTTCCTCCTCGAGTATACTATGGAGAGCTGCTGGCTTTCGAGGAGTTGCATTTGCTTCTGCAGAATTGTCTTCTAAGGAGCGATCGTTGCTGGTATCAGATATGGTGAGCTGCAAATCCCTATCTGCTACCTTAACGATCTCGCAGATCTCAGCGGGCGAACCGTCTGGCGAGACCTTCAGAACTCGAACAAAGCTCGGTTGACCACTGATCAGACCCATGCACATAGTGAACGGGAAGCGGATATCTCCGAGCTTGGGTAAGTCCATCTGCCATCCGATCTGCTCGTGGGGGAACTTGCTCGGGAGCTCATACTCCAAATTCTTCTTCGCCATCTGGAAAAAGCGGTTATCTTCATACTCGCCGTAATGGTGTAACGAGCAACCATGAGGAGATTCTACTCCGAATCGGTTGCCGCAGAACCGCCACTGGCCATTGGCCATCTGAATGGGTACGCAGCAGTATGCAAGATGCAGCCGCTCGAAGCAACTGCGCTTGATTGTGCCACATCCAGGCTCTATACAGTGGTGCCCTTCCATGTCGCATGTCATTCGCCAAATGTTGCAATAACGGCCACTCCAGGAGACTACCCAACCGGGCCCATAGAGTCGCAAGAAGGGCAAACTGAATACTGCCATGGTAGATATTATCAAAGATAACGGACCAGAACTTTGAGCTTCGAGATCTTGTAACTGGGTCGTTAAGGGAGCAAAGAATGTCTTTTGCTGGGTATTTGATCAACAGTGGAGTTGAATGTGCGCGTACTGATATTGGACAGTAAAGCCAGGGCATTCTGCGAACTTTTAAACCAGCAAGAACTGGGCCGTGTGAAAGGCATAAGTGCAAGCTATCGCTTCCTGATCGCATTTACCGGCAGCAGTGAATCACAAAGAATACGGTCAAAGCTTTCGACTCTTGCAATACATAAACACATTCTCACTTGGACCTTTCAACCATCTGCTACCCTCTCACGATCACGAGTGGCCAACTCAACTCTACTAGCTATGGGAATTCTAAACAAGATCACAAGCCTATGGCCGAATCGTCAACTGAAGGTGACGACACTCAATGCATCTTCCGTCATCCCGCCTGCACTCAACGCCATGGAAGCTCCCGGATCAGGAAAGGCATCGCGCATGCTGGCTTCTTTGCGGAGACTGTTTCACTATAAACACGGTCGGGCCGTCTCGCCCAAGACCTACGAAGAACGCACATCCGAAACCAGCGACGACGTGTACCAGCTCGAACCGCTCACACTCAGCCTCGAGCTGGAGTCCAGTGGTGGGTGGGAAGTTGATGGCATCTTCCGAGGGTCCGATATCGCTGAGCCCGGTGTGCACCAGATCACAAACGAAGACTTTGCGCAGTCGTCCGATGACCATGTCAACATTGCGAAAGACAATCACGTTCTTAACAAAGTAGACAAAGGATCAATCGCTTGCGAAAGCACCGCAAATGACGACAAACGTACAATCCAAGAAGCTGGGAGCCAATCCACCGTCATCTCGACTCAGAACTTTGAGCTTGCTGGGTCCATCTTCGATGACGTACATCAACAGGATAGCTACACGACTACGAACGGATCAACTACGGTTATTCGTTCCCTGAAAAAGGTTATGGGCGACACGTCGACGGCAGTAAACCTTCATAATGACATGTTGGAGAGCTTGGACGTGCCTTCGGATCCTTCGAGCCGTAGCCAGCAAATGGATAGCGCATCCTCGCGAAACATACAAGCATGTCAAGAAGATGATAATCTTCTGATTCCGAGTAACACGACGCAGTCGCAAGACGGCAATACATGCACAACTGCAAAGAGTGAAGCAGATACTGGTACTGAGGACGATCGCGACACCACCGTCAGGACAGATGCATCTGAAGCCGGGATGTCTCGCTTTGATTGGGAAAAGATTCGCGCAATTCCTGATTCGACATTCAGACAGCTGCTGCATTCGGTTATCGAGAGCTACAGCTCCGTCAATATTGCTTTAGAGGAGTGTCATGTTACGCGACGCATGGATGGCGGATTCCATCACGTTGTGTTCATGGCAGTCGTCAAAGACGAGCCTTCCAACCGTCTTGTCGAACGATATGTTTTCAGAGTCCCTGCTATTGGAACTGCAGCCAGGTGGCAGCCAGGCGATCAGCACAACCTCTGCTGCGAAGTGACCTTGATGCAGTGGCTGCGAAACAAAACTTCCATTCCGGTACCAGAAGTCGTTGACTTCGCTCTAGATATCGAGACCTCTTTCATCGGCGCACCATACATCTTGATGAAGCGCATGCCAGGAAAAGCCGCGCAAAACGTCTGGTATGACAAGCCTAGTGATCGCAATCATGTCACTACCAACTGCGTTTCTCCACAAACGGAAAAGAAGCGTTGTAATATTCTGCGTTCACTGGCGCAGTGTATGTCGCAGCTAAGAGACGTGAGCTTCAATGAGGTTGGTCTTGTAGATTGCAAGGACGCACTTTCTTTGGGCGCGACGCCAACAACTACAGTCTCATATCGCTGGAAGCCGCCGTACGAACTCACTGCGGAGGATCTTGGAGGACCAAGCCAAGTGTACACATATGGACCATTCAAGAAGAACCTGGACTACTGGAAACTGAACTTGGAGGAGAGCTGGCCTGCGATCCCTGAATACGATCCAGATGTTGATCAAGATATACTGAACATGGTATCTGGAAAACGCAAGATCATCGACATGCTTCACGACCACTCTACGATCGCCGCTTCGAAAAAAGACCCCGCAGATGCCGACGAGAAGGAGACCTTCGTCATCCGTCATCCTGATCTCGATCTACAGAATATTCTCGTAGATGACGACGGCAACGTTACAGGCATCATTGACTGGGATAACTGTCTCGCCGTCCCTCGCTGTATCGGCTTTGCTTCACTACCCGACTTCCTCCGCCGCGATTGGAACAGGGACTTTTCTCTCGCTGACTCACCCCACATGCCCACATGGGAGATTCAGAAGTACGCGGATATCTATGCCGATGCCATGGCAGAAACTGGTTGCTCCGACGCGAGATACACGCGTAAGTCTGGCATGTATCGTGCTATTGCTGGTGCAATTACGCAGGGCAGCGTTACGGATGTGATTGAGAAGCTCTTCGCTCATATTCCAGGATTGAGGATGAGTAATGCTGAGGAGCTTCAGCGACTGATAGGTGGAGGATGGGTTGAAGGTGAGGAGTATATCAGGAAGGCGCTTGGGGAGTTGTTAGAGCCCAGTAGCCGCTTTACTTGATTCGCTTGTGTTCAAGTGGCGGATACCCACCCCCAGCTGGGACGCCTAAACTGCAAAGACGGAATCGGCATACATTCAGGCAACCATACACATCAACATCTGAGTCATCCACTTCACTACATAGAATTCCTCTTATTACCATCATTGTTGTACAACTCTCCCCATTTCCGTTTATCAGTCTACAAAGACAATCAGAATACCACAA